TATATATATATATATATATATGTATTTACATAAATACTAAATTGTGAAAGATATTAACTTTTTTTTTATCATAAAATGATTTGCATTAATTTATGCTAAAATGAACTTGATATTTTTACTGCCAAAGACACAAATATTAAGAATCATACGTTTTTTTTTTTTTTTTGGTGTGTGCGCATTAATTAAATTCATAATATTATGAAAGTCTTTGTTTGAAACTTTGGCCATATAGCATTGCATTATATACACCCTTATTTGAGCTATAAACAAACTATTCATCACCTTGACAAGAATTGTATAGATTTACCCTGCACACCAGAGAAGTCTTGTGATGATCACATGAAACTGGGTGTTTTTCTTTTGTTTTTAAAAAGAATTACATCTATGTAGGGTTTGGTTGTTGAACATCAGTTCATGGCTGACAGTAAAATAACTGGGATTACTGTCATGCTTTTCATGTTATACAATTACAGGCACTGTCTTGTGCATTATAGAGCAAAGAGAGAAGTAGAAACCTTGTGTTTTTTTATTAAGAGAAGGCTTGGGATTTATTTAGTATGGCTCATTTGATAGGTAGTATTTGTGATGACTTTTAAACTCAGGAAGTTTTTCTTTCAGTTGGTTGTTTGTATCACTCAAATCTGACATGGATTAGAACTGTTTCACTTTCAGACGTCAAACAGGCGGTTTCACAGTTCCACCTTTTCTGTCAAACCCACAAAAGCCTGTCCAACCTGACTGTGTTGTGGCTACGTCAAAGGCTTTAGGTCTGTTTAGGCGGTGCAGTGCTAGAAACGGTCTGTTACGGGTGACACCAGGCATCTTTGTACAGAGTCTGTCTGCATGCTGTTTCAGCAAATAGAAATCTCATTGAACGGCTGAGCGTCGGCTCTGTGCAGTATTGGCTCTGGGGGTTGATTTAGGACACGTGGAGTACACGTGTTAACATAACTGCTGCATGTGTTCCACAGTGGTCTTTTGTCCCACTTTAGCAATCCAGAACAAAGGGTAGCTTTCTGAATAATCACACAGTGCGCAAACATATGCAATATAATTGCAGTCTTATTTGACCCCAGTTGTCCCTCATATGCACAATGACATCCAAATACACAACATTAATCTTTATTGCAGGGGTCATCAAACTTTTTGATGCTCAGAACCCCAAAATATAATGATCTCCCGCATATAAATTGCAATAATTGTAAATAAATTGGCCCACTAAAATATGCATGATATTATAAATGTTTTTCTTAAATTCATTATTTGTTTTTTAGATTTTTATTTAGCTAACACTTTTCTTGAATTATAGCCTAAAAGTTTAATAAAATTATTTGAAAATATAAATTAAATGTGCAGCATATTTTATTTCTCTTAACTGTGCTTTTAATTATTTATATTAATATTAATAAAGTTTAATGGCATTCTAATAAAGTTTAATAAATCTCTAATAAAGTTTTAAATCCTAAACAAACTTTCTTGTTAAAATATATGGCTGTCAATACAATAAAACTGTAATTAATCACATGAGCAAATTTTGTAAATATATTATTTATTATTTAAAAAAAAAAACTTTTTAAAAGTTGCAAGTAAAAAATTATTGGAGTACAATTTACAAGAAAATACTGTGTCAGTGGGTTTTTTTTTTTACTTCAAAATTTCATGTTTAATTCAGTGTGTTACTTGCTGTTTCTTTGTAACCGTTTATTTATTAGCAATTTCTGAGTGAATTGTTTTTACGCCAAATTAATTCATTACGGTTTAAAGGCAAGTAAAAATCACGTACAGTAAAAAAAAAAGTCTTTAAATTTTGATAAAAATGTTGTGCTTGCAGGTTTGTGATTGGATCTACCCACTATACCCAGACTCACCAGTCTTTCTTAGCAACAAAGGTGTGTTCACATTTCCCAATACCACCGCAGCAGTGCCGGGGTCCTATGTTGGGGTGGTGCTGTCCTCAGAGCTGCCTGCAGTAGACAGGGATCTGTTCCAGGAACAGCTGGCAGCTCTGGCACAGCTCAGGGTCCAGGTACTCAATCTCAGATTTGATTTTGTCAATGTATGATTAACTGAAAAAATTATAAAATTGACAGTTTTATTGAACTCTGAATTGATGCAATTGGTTTTGTGTAACTCATAAATTTGCTACATATTTCTCATAACTAAGGATTTTTTTTTTAAGGTAGATGAAGAACAAGGTGGCGCTGCAGGAACAGATATTAACCTGAGTGGGAAGGTTCCTCCTTCAGAAACATCTCTAACCCAAACGGCAGGAGGGGAGGAAAAAACTGTTCCTGTGTGGAGCGAAAAAATGTCACAGAACATTCTAGCAGGTCTGAACTTTAAGATTAAAGTAAAGTAACCTGAAATTTTGATAGGTATCTCATTGGATAGCTAGTGTTTTTGTTTCTTCTATTGAAGTAGAAGTTAAGAAGACATACACTCTTAAAAATAAAGATTGGCATCTATGGTTCCATGAAGATCCATTGAATCTTTCCACTGAACAAAAAGTTCTTATATAATTAACATATTCTTCTAGGGAAAAAATTGTTATTTTAAGAACTGATCACTGAGAGGTTCTTTGGGGAACCAAAAATGGTTCTTCTATGGCATAATTTTGAAAAACCCTCTTTGGAACCTTTATTTAAGAGTGCACTGAACATCTTATTGGTGCATTTTATAATTAGCCACTAGAGGCCACTCTAATACACTCTAAGCGAAAACAAGCGCTAAAGGTATTGTGATATTTCCACCGTGGTTATTCAGGGACTTCCTGGCTGAGTCGGGGGCTTGTGCGAGGAGCAGACGTTACCGGTAAAGCCATCCAAAGAGGAGCATCTAAGCTACAAGAAAACATCACTCCAGAGGAGACCCCAGCAGAGGTCAGCCCCAAGGTCACCAAAGGCCTAAATGCAGCTAAGCAGGCCACTGGGGGTGCTGTGAAAGTCAGCCAGTTTTTAGGTAAAACAATGGTGTAATTAGATTGATCATATACTGAAATATTTATAGCTTTTCTATATCCTGTTTTGCAACATGTATAATACATTTTGTTATATTCACCAGTGGATGGTGTTGCTGCTGTAGCTGATAGAGTTGGGAAAGAACTTGCTCCACACGTAAAAAAGCACGGTAGCAAACTCATCCCAGAATCCCTCAAGAAAAGTAAAGACAACTGCTCCAACATGGATGGAGCCAAGCTAGTGGCAGGAAGCAGCTTACAAGGTAAACACACAAATCATTCGAATGTTCTGAAAGGCTTGTGCCATTTTACTTTTGTCCTGCTAAATTAAGCGAAGTATATCAAACTTTAAGATATTCATACTTCTTTATAACTTTACAAAAGGTATTTTAGTTCATGTTTAGATGCAAAATGTGTTCTATAGGTTTGTCGAATCTCTGGTCAAGTCTGGAAACCGCAGCAAAGACCATTGGCAAAAGTATAACTTCAGAGACGGTGACTACTGTGAGGCACAAGTAGGTGTTTTTTATTTATTGTTTTTCAGGATACACAGTTTCTCTTCTGCTTTCCTTTTATTCTTTTTCCCACCCAAGAGTCTGATACTGCTAGTTTTTTTTTTTGTTTTGGCTATATACTAGGGCTGTAACGGTACATGTATTTGTCACGGTTTGGTTCATGCAGTCAGATGACGAATACAGTCAGTCATAGGCGATCAATCCAGATGGGGGTGCTTGCAGTAATGCAACAATAACTGTCACCACAGGAAAGAGCAGAAGAAGAGACGACCTACGCACCAATCCAAAACAAGAATGGCGAGTTCAGACAATTATAAGTCTCTGCAGGAAAGTAATGGGAGTTACCAGATCAGGGCGTTTTTAGACCATGTTTCCTGATTGGCTGACGTCATAGTGACGGTAGGTTTAGGGGTGGGGTTAGGTAAGGGGGATCATTTTGATTGCATGATTGAGAAACACCCTGCAGTTTGAAAACACCCACAAATTCAGAAACGCCCACTTTTGCTCTGCAGAGACTTCAATCTCAGTTCAGACGTCACGCAAGAGTTCGAAGAACCGCCTGCTTGTTTTAAATCAGCAGTGTGGGAAAGTTTGGGGTTCTAGAGATGCACTGGTCGACCGGCTGATCTCTATTCCAGAATTGCGCACAAACTGCATTGCCATCATTTCCCAAAATGTAATTTGTGTGGAATTTTTATGAGGTCTGTAAAGAGGAGAAAGTACTGTACCAGGCAGATCAAGCTCACCGTTTGCGATGCTTGGAAGACAAATATGTGGGGGTTTATATGAATGTATCTTTGAGAGGAACTGACCGTCTCCAGAAATGCTTCAATGGCATTTTCTTCCTCTTAACTCCATATAATGCCCAAGGAAACACTATCACTGCTGTTTCATAAGCGCCACCTGCTGTCATTTTCATTCAGTCCGTCAGCTGTTTTTGTTTTGTGCAGGTGTCTTATGTAGCATAATTTCACAAATTAAAAGTTCTGTTTTTGCTTTAAATCTTGAAATTATACAATCTAATTAAAATCAAAAACAACTGCTCAAGCTACATGTAGCATTACTGTCTGTTCAAAATAAATTAAAAAAATACATTTCCTGTTGTATCGAACCCTGACCCCAAAACCGAGGTACGTACCGAACCGTGACTTGTGTTACACCCCTACTATATACCTATCCAAACTTCAATGCTTTGGGAAATGGATTAATTTACTCTTTCCTGTTGCTTTTTCAGATTTAGGGGTCTAGGAAGCCTCTTGGACCCCCCTAGCAGCATATAAATGGTGGCGGGTAAAAACACACTGCATTTTCTCTGACTAATGTCTCTGCCAAATTCGAACCTACCCACAGTGCCTTGTTTACTGACCATTACTGACCATTCAGTGGTTGCTGAGAAGGTGCATATTTTTATTAACAGTCCCGTCAGAGTGTTTTGTGAATTAAAACTGAGGTGAATGCAACATTTTGTCTGCTTACTGTGTTCTGTTCATTTTAAGATGTTTCACATTATCTCAAAAATCCTTTAGAATCAATAGTCAGCAACATAACATGAACTGTCAGGCCATTTAGCTCAGAATATCTCCATGTTTGTGATCAGGTATGGAGACGAGGCAGGACAAGCTGCAGACACTGCAGTCCATTCTGCTGTCAATGTAGGTATCACAGCATTTAATATAGACAACCTGGGCGTCAAGGGTATACTGAAGACCACAGGCAAGCACACTGCAAAAGCAATGGTGAATGACGGTTCAGGAAGAGAAGAAACTGAGAAGAAAGAAAAGCCCCCTAATAAAGGGCAGGGTGAGAAAAAACAATGAAATATTAGCTGTCTTGAACTACCTTTTTATCATGTACAATCCTGTAGCACAAAAGGCCTATACTGAGCAATATTTACAGAAAGATGCACTTAAGACAAGTACTGTTTTAGTGGAATGTTCTACCCGTTACTCTTAAAGATGTTTTTTATTTTCTTAAAGATATTCAGAGGGTTATTTTTATAGAAGGAAACAACAGCAGGTTATTTGATTTGAGTTTACCTTGTTCGAATGTTTATTTCGGAAGTATCATTGACTTTGATAGATTTTGCATTCTGCCCTCTTCAGATGCACTACACATGAACTTAGATGAAAACTAAGAATTAATAATACCACTGTACTCTATTACTGTTTTTTGACATTCTAAGGCTTATGTAAATCTTCAGTAGCCATAAACTGAAAAACCATAGTAACACCATGTTACTATTTGTAACTTTTTTTTAGTGTATACATCTGCCATGGTTGTAATAAAAATTAGATTCTTCTTGCATACCTTCTCCTAAACATGATTTTATATACATTTGTAAAATCATTGTAAACCAAGGTAAAAGCCCGTTCAAGATATCCTTTCTCTGTGCCTTTGTCGTTATAGCTGTGGTGTGGATTGTGCTATTCTTTAATATTGAGAAGGATTTTATAACTATATCTTTATCGTTATCTTTATAGTTATCGTTCTTTGTGTGATCAGGTCTTAAGGCTGTATGAAAAGGTAGCAGCACAATAGGACCCGATGCAATCACGTCATCAATATTGTGGTTGTTCGTTGCCATGGATACAGCCAGGGCCATCCTCAGCTGACGCGGGGCCCGGTGCGAGGTACGGAGCAAGGGGGGAGGGGGGGGTGCAACGCACCAGTTGTACCCCCCTAAGGGCGGCCCTGGATAGAGCACAACAATCATAAGACACAGATGAAAGTGAAACCTGTTCATTACTCAGACTGAAGATGGGAGAAACTGATCTCAGAAATTGAGTTATCACAGCTGCAAGCAGAAGTCGAGCAAGAGAGAGAGGTCAAGTACAGGTGCATCTCAATAAATTGTGTTTTGAGTTGATTAGCTGATTGGCATGTCACCATATTCTAATTTGTTGAGATAGTGAATTGGTGGGTTTTTGTTAAATGTGAGCCAAAATCATCACAATTAAAAGAACCAAAGACTTAAACTACTTCAGTCTGTGGCCATTGAATTTATTTAATACACGAGTTTCACAATTTGAGTTGAATTAGTGAAATAAATGAACTTTTCCACGACATTCTAATTTATTGAGATGCACCTGTAAGTCCAATCATCTTAAAGCGATGGCTTGACTCCTGTCATGAATAGCAGCCATTGCAGTTGCACGTTGGTTAGACATATTTAGCAAATTTGTGAATCATTTAAAGGGAGATGTTACAGGACTCCGTGTCTGACCTGAGGAGCACACTGGCGGATTTGGAGAAGACACTTCACAGTGTAGATGGAGAAGGTCTGTAAATGATCGAATGCAAGAAACATCCTTTTTCCCCCAAACTTTATTTTTTGTTGTTGCTATAGAATAGTATTGTTTCTTATCATAATATAACCACAGCCTTTATATTTTGTAATTTATGGTGTTTTTAGGCCTCCTTTATAGTGTGTTGTTGCAATCAGTCTGTAATGATACAAAGAAACACTTGGGGGCACCTGCTAGAAAAATAACAGGACAATTCAGTTGAAATGCTTTATGTGGTGAAAAAAGTATCATCCGCCCAACATTATGGTCACAGTACATATTCAAAGTTTCACATACTTCATTCATTGGTTTCTCTGCTGCCTCTGTCTGTCTCTTCATCAACCACTTCATCACATCTGTCATTTGATGGTTCTTCTTCACATCAGTCCTGATCAAATGAATGATCAAGGGTCTTATGCTGATACAGAATGAAATATGAAGCAGGCACAGGCAAGCCATTTTTATACTTTGGAGCTGTGAGGGAATGAGCCATGCTGTTATTTTGATGTATTGTGTACACACTACACTGTAACTTGTGTCTTACTCTTCAGATCGACTGGTGTCTATTCGCTCATATGATGAAATGTCAGAGGTAAGCATTTAAGCTAAAAAAAAAAAAAAAATGCAACCAACTTCCAAATCTTCTTAATAAAATTGTAATTATAAATTTTATTTTAAAACTTAATTATATAAATGATATAATTAGATCAACAAATTATATAAAATATATTTACATACCCTAAATATAAACATAAATATAAAATTATTATTTAAAAAAATTATTCATTCTAAAATTCTAAATGTCACAGACATGCACAATATGTGGCATTCAAAAACAGGGTTTTAAAAAATATAGAAAATATACCTCATGCCCTCTGTCTGTGCAACATAGAAGTGACGCTTTAATTTATGCTATTCATGCATACACATTTAATTTTCTGCAGCTATTGTTGCATGGTGCAACTGTTTCTCATTACAGCCTGGCAAAGCTGAATATGGTTTTCTGCCAAAGACAAGATTAAAATCAATCTGCTGAGACAGCCTGAAAAAGTGAGAAGTAATCTGTAAATGAGGGAAGAGAAGCAAGAAAGACTTGGGTGAGTCATGCCACAGGGATGGGATGATAATTAAATATTTAAAGAGTGAAAATGTTTGGAGTCACTCATGACCCCAAGCAAATATTCTTCATTTTATCCCTATCATATAATCATGTACAGTACATAAGAACATTCTTTATACCTTGTCTTAAAAGAATAGTTCACTTCTTTTTTTTTTTGTATTTACTCGACCTCAGGCCATCCAAGATGTAGATGAGTTTCTTCATCTGAACAGATTTGGAGAAATTCAGCATTACATCGCTTACGATGTATGGATCCTCTGCAGTGAATGGGTGCCATCAGAATGAGTCTAAACATCTTATAAATACATCACAATAATCCATATAATCCACAAGAATTCAGTCCACGTTGATGTCTTGTGAAGTGAAAAGCAGCTTGTTTGTATGAAACAAATTCATCAAGATATTTTTAACATCAAACAATTAATTGTGGATTATTGTGATGTTTTTATCAGCTGTTTGGACTCATTCTAATGGCATCCATTCACTGCAGACGATCCATTTGTGAACAAGTGATGTAATGCTAAATTTCCCCAAATTTTCTCTGATAAAGAAACAAACTCACCTACATCTTGAATGGCCTGAGGGTGAATAAACTTTGAGCAAATTTACAGTTTTGAGTGAACTATTCCTCCATTTGTTCAGATAAATATTTTTTTATTCAGGATGCTCTCAGACAGAGGCTGAAATTGCTGTCTACTGAGTCCTACAACATCTTCTCTTCTCTAAGAAAACTTCTCTTTAGTCAAGATATCATGTATCTTGTTGTACGAAATCTCCAGCTATTAATTGTAACATAAATGACATTAACATGAGGGGGCGAATGAGTATAGGTCTGGGCTGCTGAATTCCCCTAGAGGTATAACAACAATTATCTCACGATTATGCTGACATGAGAGTCCTAATTGCAGGAATAAGGAAAGATTACATTTTGTAGTTACTTGGTCATACATGAAAAAGACCGAAAAAAAAAGACATAATTGTCTTAATTATGCATTCTATTCCTAATAGATTTACCAGAAAGTCTATGAAGAGAGGCGGGCATATCTTACAGAGATTGCAAATGTGAGCAAGTCATTTAAAACAAATTTTCCAGTTTGTTCTTTCAGTTACATGTATTCACTTGACAGATGCTTTTATCCAAAGCGTTACAGTGTAGGTTTTATCATTATGTGTGCTCCATGAGAATCAAACCCATTACTGTGGTGTTGATAGCACCATGCAGTTCAGCTACTTGACCAAAGATATTATCTCAAATGTTGCGTTTGAACAATGATGATGTGTCACTATAGCTGTCCTCAACGCTGGATATGAGCAGAAAGCAGCAGATGGTTCAAGCCCGGAGGACAGCACTGGGTCCAGACAAAACTTAAATATGAAAATGCACTGAACATCATCAAATGACACCACTTTGGTTCATAGAAAACAATCCCAGGTTTTATTTTTTTCTTGAAACATTTTTTAAGCAACTTGGAAAAAAAACATGCAGGGTTGAGCATTCATTAATTACAAGTAAATCCACATTGTGACCAGAATGCAATTGTCTTATGCATCATGTATACTTACTCATTTCACTGTTATACTTAAAATCATGAATAACAAGACCAATTCTTTTTAATCTCACTAGATTAAGAATGAGCAATAATTTAAAGGGATAGTTCACCCACAAATGATTTATTCTTTCATCATTTACTCACCCTCATGTCTTTTCAAACCTTTGCTAATTTATTTTTCCTTCTTAACAGCAGTGGGTCTTGGTTCTTGGTGAACTATCCCTTTAATATTCAGTTATTCAGGTATAATTGTCCTATATATAAAAATACTTCTGTCAGGACCACTATCGTCAAAGATGATTGACAATTAGCATACAGTTTGGATTGGCGGTATGGTTTTGTTCTGGGCAAGAACTCCCTGCGCCTCCATGCAGCCTAGCATGGATGAGAGCAGGGAGAGCAGCAATAACCCCCCAGGGTAAACAGAACAGAACTAACATAAATGTATTGCAGATATTGTTAAAGTTCAATCATTTTATGTACACATTTTAGAATCAGTCTGATTCAAGGAGAATCAGAAGGCTGAA